AGCATGTTTACCCTCACACCAATAGTGAAGTCTACAAGCTCCCTGCAGATTATTAGCACCCCTCTATGGCAATAAGTTGTGACCCTTCCATAATTATAGTAGAGATGAGAAAAACGAAAGCAAAGAGTAAACGAGATGGGAGTGTTGTGACCTGTCAAATGTAATGGGATAGTAAGAGATATGTAACGAATATGCCAGAATATTCAGTGTGGATGTAAGCATAGCTAAAAGAACAGTGCCTGAAGGAAGACTGATCCTGGAGCTGTCTTGACCAGTCCTAGCTAAGTCCAAATTGCAGGACATTCCATGGAAGAAGTGCATAATTTAAAGAGCTTCATATTGGCACAAATGTTGCAGAATCCCAATCCCCTTGCATGGCAGAAGTATTTTGCAACAATATTTTGGAGTTATTTACAGCAATTGATTTGTCAGATGTTGAGGGGATTTTTTTAGCCATTTGGTTCTGTAAACCCTGTAAATTTTTTAGGTCAGGAAAAGGCATGTTTTAACATTTGCATTTTTATTAAAGGTTGAGTACTGAGAAGTAAATGTGTACATTTGTTCCGTGCATTTAAGGGACAGGAAATTTTATCTGACCTGGAGAAGGCTCATAAGAATTTTTACTGAATTAATGTGAATATACTTTTGTTTTCAAAAGGATGAGAAAATTTGGGAATTAAGTATCTGCTTTAACAATTATTTTTTTTTTAAGATAGTATCAAAGCTGGTTCCACCACTTCCCATATCAGTAAAAAATTGTATGTAGTCAAAATTCATATATAACTGTGTCTGTACACTAATTAGCATATAATCTTTTCAAAGCTTCCTGTATACTCTGAAATATGCCTACGAGTAAATTACTGTTCTGTACTTAAAACATTTAAATTTGTGCAAAAGCAGACTGTAATTGATATAATGTATATTTTTGGGAGTAACATTTTCTGACCATGTATACTCAAAACAGCAGTAACTAATACCACGTAAGATGAGGTACAACAATACACACCATAACAATAGTTGAAGTTATTAGCTCTAATACTGTTCACCTTGATAAGAGAGTATTGTGGTCGGTGGAGTAAAAAAATTAGTGTTGAATTAAGTTTTTAAAAATAAAATATAAATAAAAAATAAATTATTTTTGAAATCATGGTTTTTTTCAATTCTGTCAAACAGTGATTCAATTGTCCCATAAGTTCTCAAGTTCTATCTCACACTAGGTATGTCAAATAGTGCAACAGTCATTCCACAAGTTCTGAATACTGTCTCAAATCAGGTAAATCAAATAGTGATTCAATTGTCCCATTAGTTTTGAGTCCTGTCTCAGACCAGGTAAGTCAATAGTGTGTGAGTTGTCCACATATTCTGAGTCCTATCTCAGATCAGCTAAATTTAATTAATATGCTTCAGTTGTCCCATAACTTCTGAGTCCACTTTCAGACCAGGAAAAACAAATAGCACTTCAACTGTCCCATAAGTTCTGAGTTCTGTATCAGACCAGGTAAGTTAAAGAGAGTTTCAGTTGTCCCAGAAGTTCTATGTCCTGTTTCACACCAAGCAAGACAAATAGTTCTTCAATTATCCAACAAGTTCTGAATTCTGTTTCAGACCAGGTAAGTCAAGCAGTGCTTCAGTTGTCCCACAGGTTCCAAGACTTGTCTCAGACCAAGTAAGTCAAAACAATGCTCCAACTATATTACAATTTCCCTCAAAAGTTTGATACAACCTTCAAGTAAAGGCAAGTCATTGAAATTTTATAGTTGTAGACCCTATCAAAAAGGCTACTATGTACTTAAGCAGTGTGCTTCAGATCTCCAAAACATAAATAGTAAGCATGATGTAAATCTCAATTGTAGGAGAGTAAAGAAAACTTAATCTAAAAGCAAGAGTTCAAGTAATGCATCAGTTATAAAGCAAAGGTCAAACAAAAACAGGGTAAAAACTGTACTGGCAAAGTGGGAATGTCTTTTCATTACAGTCATTATATTTTGGGGAATGTGGTAACGAAGTGGCTAGAGCACTCGACTCAGGAAGTAATGCTATTATGAGCCATTGCAAAGGACATCCAACCTTAATTCCCCAGCTCCAACCTGTCTGTGCCCACTCCATTTTGGATACTGATAAAGACACACAAAATGGCGAATGACAGCAACAATGTCTCTTTCATTTGGGTAGATCCTATAGTCTAGAGTAAGTCTTAAAATATATGCATTAATTAGGAGTCTTTATCAGAACAGTCTAATAATATAAAACCCAATCCAAAGTTTGGAGTATATCTTTAACTGCAAATATAAGCACTTAAAGGAGTCCTACTTTGAGATTAAGGTCATCTGACAAGTTATAGTTCTCCTATAAGTCTTTCCAATATGATGCTGCAGTTATATGTCCACAGTCTGAAATTAAGTTCTGAATATAGTTATTCTTAATGCAAGAGCAAGTACGTCAACAGAGCTGTAGGTTTTTTACATATCTATATACAGCCAATATATACATTTTTATTTACGTTTTTCAAGTCAATATTAGTTCCCGTTATGGAGGTCGACACACATAGATTAGAGGTGGGAAAGTAAGACTGGATACCTTTCTTAACATCAAGCGGTGGTCTCGGTCACAGAACTATCACCTCTCAAGTCAAGTATTCTAAACACTAAGCTACCACGGTCTCCACATAGTAAATAAATACTGTAACTCGTTAAATCTGGCTTAAAAATTCAACTAACAAGGATCTTTTTGCTAACATCAGTATTTCAAGTAAAGTCACAGCTCCCATACTTGAGAACATGCCTAGATTTAACAAATACATTACTTGAATATATATTCCTCTTCACCCTCGTCTTTGTTGTTATCACTGTCTCCATCTTCGTCATCGTTGTCTACTTTGTCTTCTCTGTCTTTATCATCATTTTTTTCTTCATCTGCATAATTGTGCTCGTCAATGTCCTCGTCTTTATCATCTTCATTTTCTTTGTCTTTATCGTCGTCGTCGTCTCGTCGTTGTCTACTTTGTCGTCATTGTCAAGGTCATCGCCATTTAGTTACAATTTCTACTTTCCTATCAATATAATTCTACTTAATAACACTGAACTGTTAACATACAGTCTAAAATGGAAGGAAAAGCCCATTATATGAAACAACGAAAATATATATAAATAAAGTACTTATTAATTTCGTGACCTAAGCTGGTCACTTTATTTATATATATTTTCGTTGTTTCATTTAATGGGCTTTTCCTTCCATAATTCTACTTGTTAATGATGCTTTGCTTAAAATATCGATTGACATGACAGAAACATGACATGGAAGTCACAGGTGAAGCTGTAAAGGAGAGAGTTATTAAATTATAATGAAGTTCAATGTCAGCAGAAGTCAGAAGTGATCCAATAGTGTAACATAAGGGAAAGGCCCCTATTTATCACTATACAAAAACCACCAATATAATGAGTTTTTGAGACTACTCACTACCAGATCCACTATCAATATCCTCTGAGGAAACAGCAACATCATAACTAGGAAGTTGGTCTCCAACAGTGTTGGTTACAGTTGCTGTTTCGTAACTAGGAGAATGTCCATGCCCAGCAGGATCAAGCCATGGAGGTTCTTTAAATGGATCTAAAGATGAATATGGAGGTGGAAGATCATCACCACAATGCGAAGCATTGTTTGGGATAGGTAATGATGTTTCAGAGACATTTGGGGGCATCCTCAGACCACTGGCATAAAACTGTTGAGAGGGGCCAAAGTTGGGATGGAAGGTGCTCTGGAATGACCCATACTGAAGAGTGTCCTGATTGGTAACCTGATTAGAAACACGATATTCTGTTTGCGATGGACCCTCCGGAGAATGTAGTAGAGGCCCTTCACTTTCTTGAGTATCAAGATTCCTTGCCCTCCTTCTTGCTTCTGCATTCTTTGCAAGTATCGCCATGCCAATCAAGATTGTAAGCAGACCTATTGAAAGAATATCTATATATGTATCATTATCACGATGTACAGCTAGGATGCCTAGCTTCCGAACTGTTACTAAAGAAATGTATATCTAAGTAAGTAAAGAAGGCTTATGTATCATTTGTGCACAAACTACAGTAATTACTGTGAAATGGTGTTAATAATTCCATTAAGATAGTAACCACAGCTAGACACACAAATAGATATATTATGCATTGACTAATAATCTATAGTAATTACTACATTACAGTTAAGATACTTTCAAATGCAAGATATATATATATATATATATATATATATATATATATATATATATATATATATATATATATATATATATATATATATATATATATATATATATATATATACCACAAGCCAGGGCAGCGTTCCACATTTGCAAGAAGAGAAATACGAGCGTCAAGATGCCAGAGATGGTATTCACCACCTGTAGTTCCTTAACATTCCTGCTGCCCTGCAAGAAATAAGGATGTAGCTTTTAGAAGATTGCAAAATTCTTATTTAGAAGTTGAAACAAATTGTCATAATGATAAAGAGGAATAATTCTCCTCTTCCAATTTATAACCCAATACTTGCTAGGGGTATACATGAAGGAAGAGACTGAGGACCATTGTAGCTTAGTGATCCGAGTAGTCGACCCAGGAAGTGACACACCCAAGATCAAGCCCATCCCAGAATATTAGGAAGGACATCCAGCCTTAAATCCCCAGCTCCACCCTGTCTTTGCCCACCCAATAATGAAGATCAATAATGACATTTTCATGATAATTAATAATGACACATAAAACGGTAAAAAAAAAAAAAAGACATGAAGAGGACGAGACTTCATCACAGCTTCCAAGAATGGTCAGCAAGGAGTGGTGTGCGACGTGCATCTCTGCAACGATCAAAGCCTGAAGTTGTGAAAATACTATTTCACTATAGACTCATCACATCTGTTGTATTACTAAATAAGCCTTGCTGAGCTAACAGGATAACTAACATAAGTGAGGCTTGCCAATCTCCTTTTCTAAAGAACAAGTGATCATTGGATGAGGGCAGCGGTAGCTCAGTGGTAGAGCGTACAAGTCAAAAAGTGACTAACGCTGGTTCAATCCCATCGTGGGGCATTAAGAAGGGCACACAGATATGTAGAGGCTATACGAGGGATTAAGAATGTATGTCCTTCCTAACGCCCCTCAGCGGAAACAAACCTACCTTAATCAGGCTTGTCAATTCTTGACTTCCTGCTATTGCAATCCCCTGTATATGTTATTTTGTTGCTAAAATCCGCTGATATAAATAATTTATGAAATGAATATGAGGCATATACTCAGTATTATGACTCAATATCAGATAAAGCAATCAGATCAGAAATCAGAACTCTATCTAACAAGACATTACTTATACCTGTTCAACGGAAGTATGTACAGAAAATATTACAGGTGATGGATAATGTAAGTTTTGATGAGGGGAAAATTATTTGTATAATAATAATAATAATAATAATAATAATAATAATAATAATAATAATAATAATAATAATAATAATAATAATAATAATAATAATAATAATAATAATAATAATAATAATAATAATAAACCTTTATTTCCATTATACATTGGGTATTCGTTAGCCGGGGCAAGTCCCAACCCCCCACTGTGGTGCCGAGCCACAGCAGTAACCTGCCAGTAAACAGCTTAAACTCTCGGTCTTGGACGGGAACCGATCTCTCGACCTCGTTAATGCGAAGCCAGCGCGTTGCCAATGTCCTAGTGGCAGTACTTAGTGACAGTCCAGGGAGTCAAGACAAGTTAGGCCATAGGAAACGCTCTACTCAATGTAAGAACAGCCTCCGTACCAGCATGGGAATTGAAAATTAATGCATAACAACCTAATATGAACACCATAGGCAAAAGCCATGACTAAGGTGCTATGAACAGTACAAAAACTCGTTAGATCAAGGAATACTATAGTACAGATATATAAGAGCTAAGCACCAGATCTTCAGGGCAATGTAAGAGAGTAATGAAAGTAATTTGCTGGTTTATGTGTCAGTATTAATCCTCATTATTGGAGTAGAGACGAACAGGTTGGAGCTCAAGAATTCAGGTTGGATGCCTTTCCTAATGCCCCACGGAAGACACAATCTAAATTCTCAAATAATACCAAATAAAAGCTCACACAAGTCACAGCGATTTATAAAAGTAATAAAACCATTCTGAAGAATCTTTTAGAATATTAATTTATAGTAAGGCTTACATAATGCTGAGTTTAAACACAGATCTGAAATGTGCACATTAGGATATGATCAGAGAGATCACAAGATAGTGACTTCAAAGCCAGTGATTGTGTGAGTATCCAAGTAATGCAGTATTATTTTTGCCTTCGCTGTGTGGCCACCGCGGTGTAGTGGCAGCCCACCACGGTCTAAGGTTAGAAATCATTCACTCAGGGGAACGGTCACAATTGCTAAAATCAAACTCTTTTGCAAAAAAGGAACCGTGCTACCCCTTAGTCATAAATGGAGTCCATGACGTAACACCGATCACTTTTACCTTCACGATAATCTCTGAGAGAATATGGAGACTATTTCCAGTTTAAAAAAAATCGCTTCAGTATCAATACATTAATGCGAATATGAATAATAAGATGGCTACCAAGGTTTATGACCACATTGACTTCATATGAGCGCACAATTTGAGTTCTGAAAAAGTGATGCATTCATGGAACATAAGAACCATAATTGAAATATTGGGTTTTAATATTTGATAATAGCCTATGACTTGTTATACACTGCAAAACAAGTGAGTGCATGAGCCAAAAACATGACAATTAGTTATAAAATTCGACAAAAAAACCTCAAATGCAGACAAAGATAACTTACACTACATCCATTATCCATTCTGATCTGCAATCAAGGTCTTCAGTTAAGCCAGAATTCTATGATCAAATGCCTTTAGCACTAATTTAAGCCACTGCTAAGCACTGACACTGTTATATGTGATTCATATAGCACAGACAGGGGAACCAAAACGAGATAAAAGATGATAAGATAAACCAGTTACCACAACGATGGTTGATGTATTAAAATATTTTCATCTTTGAGCACCAAGGGAAGGGGATACCAGTAGTGAGCTCTTCAGTGATTAGCACCGAGAGAAGAGAGAACCACCACTTGCAAGCTCTCAAAAGTGTTTATCAAAAAGTGTGCTGGCAAGGGGCATCTCCGGAGTGTGACCACATTTCATTCTATCATAAGAAAGCTGTACTACTCAAGTTTTAAACCATTCTGGAGCAATGGAGTATGTTGTTTCAGAGTCAGTAACAGTCATATCTTCAACAGTTTGCACAAACACACACACATACACACAAGGCACAAGACTGTATAGGGAATAAGTTGGGAAAATATCAACAAAGTGCAAATTCTAAGTATGGAAATGTGGATGTTCTGATTTTTTTTCTTTGAAAATAAAGAATAAATATCGAGTGTTAGCATATATCTGAGAAGCTAACAGACTGACAAAAAAAAAGTGACAGGGGGAATAAGCAGGCCAAACTGATAGCTCAGATGGATAAAAAGATATTAAACTTTGAAAATATAAAACTGCAAAGTGAGATGTGCCCTTGCAGAACAAACTTCAGATCACAAAGAAACTGGAGGAACATTAGGAACCATTAGAACATTTTGTTCAAGTAGCAAATATCAAGACACTGAACGTACACACAACAAAGTTTGTTCAAGAGAATGTTTGGAAACTTGTGTGTAAAGGGGGTTTACACGGTCAAACGGTTCGTCGAACGCGGTTCGACAGACAAGTGTTTGAAGTGATTCGAACGTGTGAACGGGGTATTTGGTTGTCGAACACGTTTGTCGAACGTGTTCGACAACCAAATACTCCGTTCACACGTTCGAACATCACTTCAAACACTTGTCTGTCGAACCGCGTTCGATAAACCGTTTGACCGTGTAAAACTCCCTTAAGATGCAGGCCAGGGAGGGAGAAGACTCAGTCACATACCAAAGAAAATCACTGGAAAACAAGTTTTCTGGACTGCATCTAAAAAAATAAAAAAAAAAAAAAAATATATATATATATATATATATATATATATATATATATATATATATATATATATATATATATATATATATATATATATATATATATATATATATATATATATATATATATATATATATATATATATATAAAGTGCCTACTACATCCCAGTGGGTTCTAAGATAAAGATTTGTTGAAATTGTTCACTAAGCTAGCTGGTCAAAAAACCTAGATTTCCTACGGAAGGCCACAGCAAAAACCGGGCTTTCCCAAAAGAGCTCTACAAGAAATGTATGTTGTGTTGTTGGCATAAGAGGGTGTAAGCAATGTAATTTTTTCATAATGGTTTCACAATCCTTTGAAGTATCATCTGGTGCCCACGTACAACAGGCCTGCGACACATACTATCATGTTAGAATTTCAGTTTGTTTATTAATCGAGCAGAATGTAACTGTGACAGTTATTTCTGAAAGATCTCAATGAACAGAGAAATGAAAAAAATTGCTGTAATTATGGTTGCTAGAAAGGAACTTATATAATAGTTAAATGAATCTCAAGAACAAATTAGCAATTAATACACATAATTAGAATATATATTAATGATAAAAAACTCGAGAATTCTCATATTCACCAGGGCATATATAAGGTAGTATGTATGTATGTATGTATGTATGTATGTATGTATGTATGTATGTATGTATGTATGTATTTATGTATGTATGTATGTATGTATGTATGTATGCATGTATGTATGTATGTATGTATGTATGTATTTATGTATGTATGTATGTATGTATGTATGTATGTATGTATGTATGTATGTATGTATGTATGTATGTATGTATGTATGTATGTATGTATGTATGTATGTATGTATGTATGTATTTATGTATGGATGGATGGATGGATGGATGGATGGATGGAAGTATGTATGATAGTATCTATGTATGTATGCATGTGTTATATGTATGTATGTATGTATGTATGTATGTATGTATGTATGTTGTATGTATGTATGTATGTATGTATGTATGTATGTACTTTGCGGCTTATCGACGAAACTTCATATACATCAACCTTGAAGATTACAAGTAACGTTAATTAGATAAAAATAAGAGTAAATAATAAAAATTATTATTATTATTATTATTATTATCATTATTATTATTATTATTATTATTATTATTATTATTATTATCATTATTATTATTATTATTGGTAGTAGTAGTAGCAGTAGTAGTAGTAGTAAAGTATTATTTAATTAACATCACTTATTATGAAAATAATAATAATCATCATCATCATCATTATCATCATTATCATTATTATTATTACTATTATTATTATAATACAACCAAACCTACCCCATAGTATGACTGATAAATCAATTGATAAAAGAGAATAGATAAGATTAGACAGACCAATGTCATCTGTCCACAAAAATAATATAGTCTTAGACGTGCCGAGGGACCGACCCTACGGGGACCGCTGCACCAGCAGCCGATAACAGTGATTGACACATAAATTTAAGAGAAAAAAAATAATTAATTCTAATTATAGAAAAAAAATAAATTACGATTCCATTTTGCATAACATTGCTTTGAAATTTTCTATTTCAAAATTATTTATAGGAATTTTCATTTTTTTTAGAAATATTTTTTTTTCATTTATTCTAATTAATTCAAACATAAACTCTGCTTCTAGTATTTATGCATTTGAATTATTTAAGAAATATATTTCAAGTATATTTTTTTATTAATTTGTATTTATAAATATAACTTGGACTGAACTGACCTGGAAAACAATATCAAAATATATTAATCAAAATATATTTATTTATTTTTTCAGTTTTAATGCATTTAAGAGTGATCTCACAGGGGAAGCAGGACAGCTCTACTCGGTGCCTCCCCCGAGCCAGGAACAATGGGGAAGGTTGGTGTCAGATAAGGCATCCGGCTGTTAATTAAGCCAAAATTTCCTGTGAGAAATAGGGACCTACGAAGTGACGATAATAATAGAAGTGCTTAAAAAAAAACTATTATTGCTATTATTATTATTATTATTA